CATGCGTCGCGAGGGCCTTGGGCCTAACGCAGACGCTACCAATGTCCTGGAAAGAAGCCCCAGGGATCCAGACACATGCGCGACGGAGAAGAGCTTCATGTGGGGGGCGGCGGGAACGTGATAACGCTTCAACTCACGCGCAGACTGCTTCTGCACATCAGAACGCCCGCATGCAGTCGGCGTGCTGCGAGCCATGAGCTCGCCCTGAAAGAGAAAGAAGTGCGTGGCGAAGCTGGCGGTGTAACGGCCGGAAAAATGACGATGCGGGCGCCAATCATCACCAGCCAAAACATTTGAAAGCGCCGAGCGGATGCGTGGAAGTGCGTCGCAACGAGCAGTATAACGGGCCCCAGTCGCATCAGCAATGGGGAAGAGACTTGGGAATTCAATAAGGGAACCATACATAGCGTGGTAAGTACACATGTCATAAGAAAAGACATTATTGACACCAGCAGATCAGAGCCGCACGCACGATTGGTCAACTCTGTAGAATTCACGAGAAAGCTTGTGAAGCCAAAGGACGATACGCATGAGCGAGAAACATACTGTTTTGACAAGGGCAATGGATGGGACCACCCCATGCCCAAGGGCACGAATCTCACGAGTCCTGTTGCGTTGGGGCAGTTTCTTCTTCCATTCTGCTGGTTTCCCCAGATGCCGGGCGTGCCCCTTGGAGCCAGGCGCGCCGCTTCATCTTCTGCCAGAGCTCCTTCCGCGCCGCCAACTTCCGCCGGGCGTTGTCAACGCCGTCCGAAGGGTCCGGAGCACGGGCCCGATTAAGCTCGTCCTCCTCAACCGATAACAGAGACGCGGAGGCTCTGGGTGCGATAACAACGCGAGCAGTCTGGAGGCCAGCGGGGCAGTGCCGGGCAAGATAAGGGCGCGCGCCGATGGCAACGCCGAGCTTGAAAGAGACACCAGCGCGCCAAGCACGGAGGGCTTGCAGGGCACGGATGTTGGGATTCGCTTGTTTGGTGTTGACGATGCGTTCAACCTCTTCAGCAACTTCAAGCATCAGAGACTTGGTCTCGACAAGACGGCCCCACGGATCGCCAGTAGGGAACATCTGAATAACTCCATCCGAAAACTCGGTAACAAAGAAACGGATGCCGAGTTATCCGGGGAGCGATGCGTCAAGGGGCATCTCGAAGCTTGAAAGTGCGGATTGACATCGCAATCGGGCTGTGCTCCGAGACCATGTCGGCCCCCGAGTGGCCGATGACTTCGCGCGCGATGACGAAGCCGGTGGCCATGGAAGAGGGAATGATACTGTAGGCGCGATCTAGCCTTGCAGTGTGCGTGGCAATCCCATCCCCGATTTTCCTTCTCGCATCCCCACGTTGGTAGGATTCAAACCGCGAACCACAAAACCTATGGAACAACTGCCGCGTGGTTGTCATCTCCAAGCGACCGTCCACTGCCATCTGCGCGGGGCCGCTGGTCAGATGCGAGAGCAACGTTCCAGTCGCCTATCAGCGCTGTGAAACACTCGGAGGGCAGGGGGAGGGCACGAGGGATGTCGCGGACGGCATTCGCATATATGATCCCGAGGTCGCACGCGTGCAATAATAATTCAGAGTCTTTCATTTGGCCCCGAAAAGTAGGACTTGAGGATGCGACCGTCGATGATAGGAGAGCGCGAGATGGAGGTGGAGGCAATGACTCCACCAACGCTGGCAGACGTGGGATCAGAAATCTGTCAAGGGGCTTCTTGAGCACGGAATGCCGCGAGCCTCTTCGCGAGCTTCAGAGAACGAGCGCAGCGAGGGGCTGCTTTCGCACTTCGACTCTGAACGGCGGCGGAGAGGGCAGACGTATTCCAAGAACCGATCTTCACCTCGGGGGAAAGGAACAACGGGCGGGCCCTGATCGGAACAGAAAACAGAGGTAGCGGACGCGGGCCCCCAAGACCACCAGGGAGCGGGGCACCGGCCGAGGGCGCGCGCCGGGGGGGAGGCGCATCTCCAGGCCAATCGGCCGCAGGAACCGAGCAACTGAGCTCTAGACGGGTACTCCTGAGAGACACTAAGGCCCGCAGCAGCGCAACGCGAGCAAATCTGTGTCGGGAACGCTGCGCCCATGGCCTGAAGCCTGCCACCTTCCCCCCTAAAAGGGCTGCGAGGCGTTCAGGTGTTCGGTGCCTCCTTGACTCCGCCTTGTTTGGGACCAGCTTTACATGGCACAGCTGCGCAGAATCCTCTGGGGCGCGGAGGGCGCACGCATCGCCTCCCAAACCATTGGGCCCCATATCTTCACCAACCTGCTGCGTCGCTGTGAAAATCAGGCCGCGAACCTCCCCCATCGCGAGGAAGAGCATGCGGGTGCCAGGCTCGAGGTAACGCTTGGCACGGAGGAAGATCTGCTGCTGCGGGTAGATCGGGTCGGGGAAGGCAGTCGGGGCTTGGGAGTGGATCTCACTGGGGAAGTCAGAAACCTTGGACGAATTCGCGAAGTCAAGGGCAATATCATTAGTCATGTCGTACGTAGGACGAGGACGGTCCTGCGGGATTCCAGCCAGGATGAACATATTTACGGCTCTTTTGAGGGGCGCCAGCATCATCTTCCGAGGCAAGCCAACAAAGACAACTCGGTGGGCACACTGAATGGCCGCTTGTCTAGACTCAGGAGCACGCGAGGAAAGACGCGTAAATGCCGAACGAGGAGTGGGGGGACACTTGAGCTCGGAGAGTGGTTCAATTTGCTTCGATAAGTTGGCCACCTTCGCGTCGGCCACCTCTTGGACAGCGTGGGCGGTGGAGGCGGCAGTGCCATGCCCAATATCAGCGATGCGTGCTCTGATGTGCTGGAAGTTTTAATGATGAGAATAGAGGGTGGTGCGGGCCACGTTCATCTCCGTCTCGAAAACCTGCTCCGTGTTGCAGATACGCTGGTTAGTTTCTTGAATGTCCCCAATGAGCGTATTCATCCGACTCGGGGCTTGTCAGGGACGGGTGAGATGTAAGTTGTACGACTACGGCTCGAGGGTGGCCTCGAGGGGCTGGTAACGTACCTGGACGGGCTGCACAGGGACATCGAACGGCGGGAGGGACTTGGCGATGATTGACCACCTCGGTTCCTTGCGCGGCGGCCACCTGGGCGATCAGCCTTCTTCGAACCCTTTGCGGTGTAACAACCAACTGCGGACAGACTGGGGTGGTGCGTGTGATGGTGGAGAAAAGGATAAGCAACATGCCTTTCAAAAACAAGTCTCCTGTCGACTGGCCGCTGCCTTGGGCCAGCACGTTGGCTCTGTTTCAAGCTGAAGCCACGGGGTGACTGTTTCAACTTGAGCCATCATGACTACGCAGGGCGTCCATTGATTTTGGGTGTGGGAACGTACAGGGGTGCTTCTTGGCATGGGTCTCCTCTGTACACTTTCCCGTCCCATGTCGTCTCTCCCATCAGCCTCTACAACTTATTTATCTCTGCGTGGCGCGCACCTTCTTTTCAACAGCGAAGCCCCAGGGGGCGGCAGTTCAGGCGGAAACTCCGGTCCGAAAGAAATTGTTCCCCATACTTCGAACTGCGAGGGAGGCGACAAACTGGGATCATAAACTTCAAGAAAATGCACCAGGATAGCCCCGCATTGAAAACGAGCCGCCCTCAACTCGTGTGCCTGCTTGATCGGATGGAAACTTCTGGTCAGAGGAGTCTGAATATGTCTCAAGCGACTGCCATCCATGTTTGCACAATGTGGGTTTGAACCGCCTACCATCCGTGCAACAGTTAAGAAGTGCTGAAACGATTGCGCGCGGCGCCAAAACGATGACGAAATGCCGAAAACGGTTCGTCTTCCATCCGTAGCTATTCGATCGCAGCGCCTGAACGAGAACTCCATTATGAAAACGACCAACCCTTCCCCCGTGTAGCAGCGGGAGACTTCAATCTCCAAGGTAGCAAGCGGAGAGTTTTAAGTTCCAGGATCATGAAGGGAAAGGGAGGGATCTCTTTTCCCTCCTCCTCCTCCTCCTCCTCCTCTTCCTCCCTCTGCCTCCCTCCTCCTCCTCCTCCTCCTCCTCCTCTTCCTCCTGCTCCTCCTCCTCCCTTCTCCTGTTCCTCCTCCTCCTCCTCCTCCTCCTCCTCCTCCTCCGCCTCCTCCTCCCCGACATCCTCATCCCCTTGCCCTCCCGCGGGCCCAGGGATGACCCGAAGAGGCCTTCCGAGGCCACCTCCAGGTTGCCCGCCCTGTTTCACCATATGTGTCCCTCCGTCCCTTCCCCCGTCAACTCTCACGAGCAGGGTTTCTGAGCAGGTTGGTGGGAATACTTTTTGGTTCGCGAGCGCGCAGGGATGCCATGCGCCGTCCAGAAACGCGGCTAACAAGCGGCGGCCTAAATTCCGTACAAGAGCGGTTGATGGGAATACTTTTTTGGTCGGCGGCCGCGCGACTACGGTCTGGCGGCAACAAGCGTGTCCGGGACGGCGGCGCAGGCTAATTGCACACAAGGTGCGGTGCACGTGCACTGAGCAAAATGCTCCACATTCGCAGTGACGCACCTAGGCGCCGCCCGGTCCAAAAGAACGAGCGCACACTGGTGCGGGCGCTACGGAACGTCGCCCTTGCGACGCCAAGCTCCGAGCATCACCCCAGACAAACTGGCACCAGCCCGGGGAACCGGCTGCTGGTGGTGGAAAACGGGCCGTCGGCACTGAAGGCTGGACCACTCAGCGCGCAGCCAACGAACGCCACTTCAGAGCTGTTGGGGCTGGCGGCGGCCGACGGACGAGTCGGTACCGGTGGAAAAGGGAAGGTGCGCCGAGAAACGCGGGCGAGGCATCACTCTGGCAAGGCAGCCCGTCACAGCCACCCTCACCTCGGTGGACACCGTCGTCCTTCCGAAGTCACAGTGTCGACCGGCTGTGGGAGGGCTCCTGCAGCCCGCAGAGTGCGACCTGGCGTGGAGAAGGGGGGCGCAGCTAACCGCCGCAAGAGATACGTAACTGGATGGCAGCTGCACGCCGAGAGCGTATACACGTGTGCGGGGTGCAGGTAACCGCCGCATTAGTCACGTAGAAAGAAGGGGGGGTGGCCGAACGGTGCCGGTGCAGCCCGAGCTGGAGTGTGCCAGCGTCGGAAGCGCCACTTGGTGGACGGCTATGTTGCGCAACATTACGCAACACAGCTGAAGTTGTACCTGTCAAAGAACCGGCTGAGCGGCGAGCAGGGAGGCGACTATTTCAGGCGACTGATCCCTGCTACAGGCAGCGGGCGGCTGTCCAGTGAACAGCAAATGAAGGTGCGCTGGGGGGGTGCACCTACGGCCGTCCCCTGGGCACCGAAAAGAGTGGCTGTCGCTGTAGGACAGCAAAGCAGGCGCCCCTGAGCGGGTGAAACCTAGAGAAGCGGCCTGAGGTAACATTCAGGCGGGGCAAAGCGTAGAAGAAGCACTAAAAGAAGCACTCAGGCAAGGCAACCCGCCTCAGTGGCTCTCACTTCGATAATACCCGAAGCGTGAAGAATTGTTACCCGAACCTCTCTCTCCTCCTCTTCCTCCTCCTCCTCTTCTTCCTCCTCCTCTTCCTCCTACTCCTCCTACTCCTCCTCTTCCTCCTCGTCCTCCTCCTCCTCCTCCTCATTCCTCGTCCTCGTCCTTGTCCTCGTCCACGTCCTCCTCCTCCTCCTCCTCCTCCTCCTCCTCGTCCTCCTTCTCCTCCTCCTACTCATTCCTCCCCCTCTCCTCCTCTTCCTCCTCCTCCTCGTCCTCCTCCTCGTCCTCATCCTCGTCCTCGTCCTCCTGCTGCTCTTCCTCCTCCTGCTCCTCCTGGTCCTCCTGCTCCTCCTCCTCCTCCTCCTCCTCCTCCTCCTCCTCCTCCTCCTCCTCCTCCTCCTACTCCTACCCATTCCAACATTCCTTCTCCTTCTCCTCCTCCTCCTCGTCATCCTCCTCGTCCTCCTCCTCGTCCTCCTCCTTCTACTCATATCTCCTCGTTCTCCTCCTCCTCCTCCTCCTCCTCCTCCTGAGTCCGCAACCCCGTCGCGCCCAGTCGCGTCGGCCGACAGTCTGGGGCGCACCACAACCTTGATGCGTTCATCAAGAGGGTGTTCCTCAGCACCCAGCTGGAGGGTCTCCTTCCTCCTCTTCCTCCTCATGCTGGTCTGCAATATCCAGAAACTTCATCAGCATAATTTCTCGGATGTCTGAACGGATTTCTTGGATCGGCGCTGGACCCCACTCCTCCCTGGCGCGCAGAGCGCTCCAGGGGCGGCACCGGAGGCGCCGCCAGGGGTGCCTAGCGCCGATCCAAGAAATCCGCGCGGAGCTGAGACAACACACGTTTGTGCCGTTCTTTGTTATTCGATCCTCCGCCTTCCTCCTCCTGCTGCTCCTCCTCCTCCCTCCTCCCTCGGCGGCGGGCGCGGGTTCCCGCAGCGCACGGAGCACAGTGAACGGGAGCGGGCAGACACCTGAGCCGTCCCGCCCTCAGGGAGGACGGCTCCTCCAGGGGTGGCCAGCTCTCTGAGACGGCGGCCACTCTCAGGACGGGGGAGACGGGTCCCGAGGGAACCGGGTCCTGGTCTCTGGGGCCTCCCCGCCAGGACGAGGTTCTTCATCCTGGGTCTTTCTCTGACGGTTCCTGGGCCCGTGGGCGGGCCCCGAGGGCCCGAGAACGGCGGCAAGCCTGAGGACCGTTCCCCTCAGGACCCGCTTGCCCCATGAAGAGGCCTCCTAGATGGGGTCCGAGCAGATGGGGTCGAAGGGTAGCGCCGCATCGCCAATGCGTCGCCGATGTACCGGCGATGCATCGGCGATGCATCGGCGACGTCGGCGATGCATCGGCGACGTGTGCGTGGAGAACATCGGGCCCCACATCGAGCCGCATCGTCGATGCATCGACGGTACGGCGCGCTCCTCCGAACCCATCTACTCGGACCCCATCTAGGAGGCAAACACCCTGGCGAAGCTGTCCAAGACGGCGGCCGCTCCCAGGGAGGCCCCTCCCCCAGGGGGCGGGGCGCACGCGATTGGCCTTAAGTCGGGCGTGTCCCTCTACAGGGGGGGTACTCAAAAATAGTCAAACATAGTCTTGGGACTATTCTTTTAACCATTCTGTCGTATTTTTGATATCTATTTTTGGGGGTACTCTTGACTTTTCGTCCAAAATCGGCCTGCAGGGGGAGAGGCCCGACTTAAAATTGGCCCCGCGCACTCTGGCGACGCCGGCCCCGCGCTGACCAGCGAGCGGCGAGAGACGAGCGGCCGCGGCGGCGCTGACGAGCGGCGACCATTCTGGCGATCGGCCCTCCCTGGGGACCCTCCCCGCGGGGAGGGGGGGGCCCTCCCCGGGGAGGCCCTCTCCCCCGCGGGGGGGGACCCCCCCCCCCCCGGGAGAGGGTCTCGACCCTTCCCGGAGAGGAACTCCCCCCCCCCCCCTGGAGAAGAACTCCCCGGGCCGGCCAGGCCCTCGCGAGGCGCTCTCCCGGGGGGGGGACCCTCCCCGGGGAGGGGCCTCCCCGCGGCCCTCCCGCGGAGAGGGGGGGGGCCTCCCTCAGGGGGGGGG